ATTTTTGCGTCTAGGGGCCCTCTTGGGACGCATGTTGGAGGCTTCTTGGGGCCTCTTGGGGGCGTCCTTGGACGTCTGGAGGCCATCTTCAGCATCTCGGAGCCCTCTTGGAGGCCTCTTGGAAGTTTCTTGGGCCGTCTTGGGCGCTTCTGGGGCCCTCTTGTCTGACCGGGGAGGCCTCCGGCAAGCCACGACGAGCCTCCGGGCCCCCCGGAGCCCACATTTGCGGTCGAGGTCCCGGCCCCGGGCCCCCGGACCCGGTCCCCCGTTATATGTATACTCCACTTCTCCTCCGCCCTCTCATTCTCGTACTCCTCATCCTCCTCCCGCTACCCAATTCCGTTCGCTCTCCTCCTCCCCCTCGTTTTCCTCCTTCTCCTCATCCTCTTTCCCCCTCCTCGCTCCCCTCCCCATTCTCTCCCTGATCAAGATCATTCGCCTGGGCATCGTGGCTGGATGGGCATCGACGCACACAGACCCATTCACAAACAGACCACTCACACTCCTATAAGCTTAAGCTCATACACGCTAACACTCAGGCGCGCACCCAGATACACTCACACTCAAATTCTCCTCCCCCATCTGATTCTCGTACTCCTCATCCTCGTCCCGCTGCCCAATTCCGTTCGCTCTCCTCCTCCCCCTCGTTTTCCACCTTCTCCTCATCCTCTTTCCCCCTCCTCGCTCCCCTCCACATTCTCTCCCTGATCAAGATAATTCGCCTGGGCATCGTTGCTGGATGGGCATCGACTGCAGGGGCCGATAGACGCATTAGGGCCACTGGTGGCAATCGTCTGCCATCGTCTGCAGCAAACGATAGCAGACGATAGGACCAGTTAGCGGCCGCCAGGAACCGCTGCAGACGGTTGCACACGATAACAGACGATAGGTCCAGCTTGGGGCCGCAAAGAACCGGTGCAGACGATTGCAGACGATAGCAAACGATAGGATCTGATAGGGGCCGCCACGGAGGCCGTCGTCTGCTACCGTCTGCAACAGACGATAGCAGACGATAGGGCTAACTCGGGGCTGCCAGGGCCCGCTGCAGACGATAGAAAAACGGTGCAGACGATAGCAGACGATGGGATCTGATAGGGGCCGCCGGGGGTGGCTGTCGAAGGCTATCGTCTGCAGCAGACGATAGCGGACGATAGCAAACGATAGGACCAGCTGGGAGCTGCCAGGACCCGCTGCAGACGAAAACTGACGATAGCACGAAACCAGCTGTGGGGCCGGCAGGAACCGCAAGGGGCAAACAGGAGGCAACAAGGCACTTGGGTGCAATCGTCTGCTATCGTCTTCTATCGTCTGCTATCGTCTTCTATCGTCTGCTTTCGTCTGCTATCGTCTGGCACCAAATAGCCGACAGCGTTTACAACTACAATGTGTTTGTGAGCCTTTTCGATTTTTCGCTTCCGATGGGCTCTTGAGGCCTCAAGATGGGCCCAGGGTAGCCCAAGGGAGCCCCAAGAGGGGCTGAAGAGGGCCCCAAGACGGCCCCAAGAGCGCTCCAAGAGCGGCCAAAGAGTGTCCCAGTACGCCCTCTTTAAGCCTCCGAGGAAAAGAACTTGAATTGGTGACATCCCTCTTTTTGAGCAAATGGGGGCCAAGACGGCCCCAAGAGGCCTCCCAGACCCCAACAAAAGAACCCAAGAGGGCCGCAAGACACCCAAGAAGAGCCCCAATAATGCCCCAAGAGAACCCCAAGAGACCCCCAAGATGGCTCCAAGAGACCTCCGAGAAAACGCGTCCGAGGCGATTGTTACACAGCCTGCTTCCACCATCACCGTCAGCACCAGCAGCAGCACCAGCAGCAGCAGCAGCATCACAACCACCACCAACAGCACTAGCAGCAGCGGCAGCACCAGCAGCACCACCACCACCACCAGCACTAGCAGCAACACCAGCGGCACCAGCAGCACGAGGACCGGCAACACCAGCAGCAGCAGCACCACCACCAGCAGCAGCAGTACCAGCACAGGCAACAGCACCAGCAGCAGCACCAACACCCTTCGCTACCAGCGATCTCCCAATTCACCGTTGTTGCCCGCGCTGTTTCACTATGTGCGTCTCTCCCCCCCTTCTCCCGTCAGCTCTCCTGGGCATCGTTCCTGGATGGGCTGGTGGGAATACGCGACGCGAAACGTTAAGAATTGCCCTCCAGAGGCCTCCGAGAATACTCTGAAGAGGCCCGGAAAAACATCCCCGAGGACTCTGGCTCACAACCCAAGCACTGAGGCGGGATGGGACAAAGCCCATTGGGATGATCATGAACATCATCATCATCGTTATCATCGGCATCTTCGACCACATCATGGGCAGCATCAGTGTCATCAGTATCCACACCAACAACACTTGTATCATCATCGTAAGCGTCAACATCCCATCAGCATCAACATCCGGAAGCCAAACTTTCCATCAACGGCATACTTGTCAGCACTATCCACACCAACAACATGCGCATTGTCATAGTAAGCGCCATCGCCCTAACCAGCATCAACGTCCACAAACAAATCGCCAGAAACATCATTATCGTGAACGTCGCCATCTGCAGCATCCGAGTCATCATCGTACTCCTCATCAGCATCATCGAACTCATTATCACAACTATCAGCACCACCATCGTCATCATCATCATCATCAGCATCATCATCACAACCACAATCGTAACAATGAGCGTCATCAGCAGTACCCCCGTCGACAGAATCATCGCCACGATCGTCCAAACCCTCCTCATCGTCATAAGCAGAAACTTCGGCCTCATCATCATCGTTGTCGCCATCATCATCATCATCGGCATCACCACCACGAACACATGATCTCTGGGGACCTCCGGGGACCTTCGTGGATCTCTGGGGGTCGAGGTCCAGGGCGAGAGCAAAACTTACCATCAACAGCTAACTTGACACCACTATCCACACCAACAACATGCGCATCGTCGCAATAAGCGCCATCACCCTAACCAGCATAAAAGTGAAGAAGCAAATCACCAAAACATAATTATCGTGAACGCCGCCATGTGCAGCATCCATGTCATCATCGTACTTGTCAGCATCGCCCAAGTCATTATCTCAAGATCAGCACCACCATCGTCACAATCAAAATCGTTACACTGATCGCCATCAGCATATCCCTCGTCGACGGAGTCATCACCGCGATCGTACAAACCATCCTCATCATCATAAGCACACGCTTCAGCCTCATCATCAGCATCATGGTCGTCGTCGTAATCATCATCGTCATGGGCATCACCACAATGAACACAATCATCATCATCATCATCATCATCATCATTACCATCGTCGTCGTTATGATTATCATATGCCTCATCATTAACTATCATATACTTATTTCCCTCCCTTCCTCCTCACCAACACCATTCATGCTGTCGTCCTCCTCATCATTTTTCGACAACGAGCGCATTGCCATAATGAGGGCCATCACCCCAATCAGCATCAACTTTCAAAAGCAAACCGCCCGAACAATCATTATCGTGAACGCCGCCATCTGCAGCATCCAAGTCATCATCGTACCCATCATCATAATCATGATCCAAGACGGGCATCTCAACATCAGCACCACCATCATCATCACAACCAAATCGTTACAATGATCGCCATCAGCATGTCCCCCGTCGACGGAATCATCACCACGATCGTACAAACCATCCTCATCATCATAAGCGCACTCTTCAACCGCATCATCATCGTCGTCATTATCATTGTCATGGGCATCACCACCACGAGCACCATCAGCATCGTCATTACCATCGTCGTCGTTATGATCATCATGTCCCTCATCATTACGATGGTCCTCATAACATGAAATCCTCTACCTGCTTCCCTCTATTCCTCCTCACCAGCACCATTCATTTTGTTGTCATCCCCCCCACTTCTTCAACAACGGGCGCATTGCCATAATAAACGCCATCATCATCAACGTTCAAAAGCAAAGCGCCATAACATAATTATCGTGAACGCCGCAAGCTGCAGCATCCAAGTCATCATCGTACTCATCATCGTACTCGTCATCGTACTCATCATCGTACTCATCATCATCATCATCATCATCATCATCATCATCATCATCATCATCATCATCATCATCATCATCATCATCATCATCATTATAATCCTTATCTCAATACAAGCACTATCACCAATACAATCGAAATCGTCGGGTGATCTGGGAATCCGGTGAGTCCGGGAGTCCGGTGGGTCCCGCGAGTCCGGTGAGTCCGGCAACTCCGGTGGGTCCAGTGGGTCCGGTGGGTCCGGTGGGTTCGGTGGGTCCGGTGGGTCCGGTATGTCTGGTGTGTCTGGTATGTCTGGTGTGTCTGGTGTGTCCGGTGTGTCCGGTGTGTCCGTTGTGTCCGGTGTGTCTGGTGTGTCCGGTAGCTGGCGTGTCCAGTGAGTCCGGTGAGTCCGGCGCGGTGGCTGGGGCAGCAAGGAGGACCATTGTGGGGGAAGACGTCGGCAAACCCGAGTTCCGGCTTACTCGAGTCTTACGTATTCCCGATATGTGTATAACGCCCTCCTAGCTCGGGCGGAAAGGCATACGTACACACCGATCCCGGGCCCAAGATCGGACCGACCATGATCGGTTTAGGTGTATACCCAGACATCTGACGCCTGGGTGTTTCAGTGCGCGGTCCCCTAAGTAAGTCCTGACTCTTTCCCCAGAGCCAATGTTTCAGCCCGAGTGCTTTCCTGACGGCCCCGACTCCCAGCGGGGGCCCCCAGAGGCCGAAGACGGCCCTGATCCCTCCGTCGCAGCTTGTGTTCACGGCGACAGCCTATCTGTGCAGTTGGCGCCCTTCTCGCCGAACAGCGGCAGAGTCGTCGTCGTCGTCGTCGTCGTCGTCGGCGTCGTCGTCGTCGTCGTCGTCGTCGCCGTCGCCGTCGTCGTCGCCGTCGGCGGCGGCGGCGGCGGCGTCGTCGTCGTCGTCGTCGGCGGCGGCGGCGGCGGCGGCGTGGGTCGCCGGCGGCGGCGGCGGGAGCCTGCCGCGCGCAGAGGCGTGCTCGGCGTCCGAGGCGGGCGTGCCGTGCAGCTGCACCTCCGGGGGGTGGTCGGCCGCGCGCCCGCGGCGGCGCGGGCGGGCGCACGACGACGACGACGACGACGACGAGGAGAGGAGGAGGAGGAGGAGGAGGAGGAGGAGGAGGAGGAGGAGGAGGAGGGAGGAGGGAGGAGGAGGTGGAGGGGGTGGCCTTCGCGCCCGCGGCGGGGCGGCGGCGGGGCGGCGGCGGGGCGGCGGCCGAAGGCACCGCGGCGATGGGGGCCCCGCGCGGGAGGCCGCGGCGGGCCGCAGGTCCACCGTGGGAGGGCGCCGAGGGGGCGTTTTTGCGTACTCGGCGTTCTCGACACTGGTGGGCTACACGCGGGAGTGACCCTGGGTACCCTGACCTTCCAGGAGGGCGCACGCGACTTAGAAACCTATCCCAGAGCTATTCTACGTCTTGGTTTTAGGCTGTTTCGTCTCGTTTTTTAGGCTTTTAGGCCTCCTGTGCTAGAACATCATTAGCTCTCTGGAAGGTCAGGGTAAGGAGGACCTTTGGTGCGCGGTTTTGGGGGGCCACGGGGGGGCCAAACACAAGCACGCGAGAAGCTGCGATCGCATCGCGTTCGGCGATCGGGGGGCCTTGGTGAGCCCGCACCAAAGGTCACTCCGGCGAAGGGTCCCTCTTACGCGTAGCCGAATTGGGCGGACAGGGGGGGGGGTCCGGCTCCGGACCTCTGCGTGATGCGGCCGGTTGCAGCAGTGCGTCCCGTGGGAGAGGCTCCTCCACCTGCCTGAAACAGGCGCCACGCCAAGAACAGCCGATATCTCTACGGCAGGTTCGTGTCGTGTCGACCCCGGCGTTGGTTTTTGACACCGCGCTGGATCGTTCAACCTTGAACGATCTGCCGTCTCCGCAACGTCCAATCGCTCAACATCGACCGATTCTGGGCCGCCGTCGGCGTTCAACGTTGAACGTCGGCGGCGGGGTCGCCGCTGGTCGACACGACGCAAACCTACCGTACTCCATGGGCGGGGGTCTATTCTACGTCTTGGTTTTAGGCTGTTTCTACGTCTTGGTTTTAGGCTGTTTCGCTCAGCTTTTTAGGTTTTTAGGTCTCCAGTGCTAAAAAATAGCTCTCTGGAAGGTCAGGGATGGGCGGGGGGAGGGTGGGTGCGAGGGCCCGCGCCCATCAGCAACGCCCTGAAGCAGGAAGATGAGCACCCACTGCGCTCGGGATTTTTTTTGCTCCGCGCGTCGCGGCGGCGGTCCCGGCGACACTCAGGAGGGGAAAAAACACACAGAGACACAATGAATCGCCGATCCCCAGAAAAAATATGAAAAAAAATATGGGAAGTGGGGGGGGGAAGACAAACACCCAGAAAATATGGGAAAATATAGGGGATGTTTTATTTGTGCTGATTTGCTTGTGTGTCCTGGGGCCCCTTCAGACACGCTTTGGCCTGCGAGCGGATGGCGTGTCTCTCCGCTCCCGCGGGGAGCGGGAGGCCGATGAAGAGCTCGGGCCGTGGACGACGCTGGGGACCGCGACGTGGACCGCGTGCGCTGCCCCGAGGCGTTGGGCGGGCCAGGGCCGGCGGGGCGACGCGGCATCCCCGAGTTCCCGACCCTTCTGTTGCTCCCATCGCACTTGGCGACCGGATCCCAGAAATCATTCCGAGCATCCCGACAAGTATCGAAGCAGTGTCGAACGAGCGTCGCCTCCCAGAGCCTGACACGCGCAAGCCCTCCAGCTTCGGTATCTCCTTGATGCTCGAGATTCTTTCTGGTGATTCAGGCTAAAGCAGGTTGGAACATCATACAGTCGGGGCGTTGACCTAAGGAACTCTAAATAAGGAACGAGGCCTCTTTTTTTCCATACGTTGAACTTCGATTTCCCATCGGAAACATGAGGAACCCCTGAGGCAAACTGTAAAGCAATCAAGGAACACCGAGCCCCTCCCCAGCGAAAAGGGTTCCTTCTTCAGCGCCGCGCCATCCCCGAGTTCCCGACCCTACGCCTGCACCGATCCTGGCTGGACCCTGACCTTCCAGAGAGCTATGTTTTAGCACGGGAGGCCTACAGACCTAAAAAACGAAACGAAACGAAACAGCCTAAACAACGAAACGAAACAGCCTACAGTCGGGGCGTTGACCTAAGGAACCCTAGATAAGGAACGAGGCCCCTTTTTTCCATATTAAGTTAAACTTCGATTTCCCATCGAAGACATGAGGAAACCCTGAGGCAAACTGTAAAACAATCAAGGAACACCGAGCCCCTCCCCAGCGAAAAGGGTTCCTTCTTCAGCGCCGCGCCATCCCCGAGTTCCCGACCCTACACCTGCACCGATCCTGGCTGGACCCTGACCTTCCAGAGAGCTATGTTTTAGCACGGGAGGCCTACAGACCTAAAAAACGGAACGAAACAGCCTAGAACCAAGACATAGAATGGCTCTGGGATAGGTTTTTAAGTCGCGTGTTATGTTTTAGCCCTCCTGGAAGGTCAGGGGAGTCATTCTGATCCCAGCATCGGTGTATACGCCTTCCTGGCTTGGGCAAGAGCGCATACACACCAAGTATGGGCCCCAGACTGGTGTGGCCAGGGTGAATGTAGTTGTATGATGTGTGGTGCCCCCAACACCGCTCCGCTGACTTCTTCCTCTGAGACTCCTTTGGAACAGAAAGAGCACAGCGCTAGTTTGCAGAGGAAAGGGGAAAGCTGAGGCTGAGAGGACGACCGCGACGCAGCACTTATACACACTCCTCGCGCTCCGTGGCAAAACGCGGCACGACCGATGGAAAGTGTGCTATTGCCCCAACTGCCTGGCCCAAATGGCCCAAACAAAAAATCCAACACCACATGTGAAACGAGAGTGGGGGAGGAAGAGGAGGAGGAGGAGGAGGAGGAGGAGGAGGAGGAGGAGGAGAAGGAGGAGCAGGAGGAAGAGGCGGAGGAGGAGGATTACCCAGATCTGGACGACATCGGATCGGGGACAAATTGGGGGTCTCTGAGATCTGGCGGCTCTACAACATGTATTTGGCGCCGCGGCCTTTGCAGAGCGTTCCGGGACGCTCTGGAAAGATCATAGGCCTGCCTGATCCTCATCCTCCCTCCCAACCCTGAAATCCAGGTGTTGCCATTTTTCACACCAAGCGTTTTCGCCCATTGCTGTGCCCCTGGGTCCTCACAGGCCGGTTCGGCTCATGCAGCAGAAAGACGGGGTCTAGGGTCCTGGTCGTGATTTCGTACGATCCTTTTTTCTCACGTCGGATCTCAGGGTGCCTCCCTCACCTCCCTCCCTCGCTCCTCCTCCGACTTCGTCATCCTTGCCTCCTTCCATCCTGCCTCCTCCCTCCTTCCCTCACAGCTGCGCGCCTTGGGCAAACCGTGCGCCTACGTTCTGAGCCCCCTTGGCAAAACGCACTTCCATAGAATTCGGCCAAGTTTGGGCCCAGAAGTCCACAGCCAAGCCCCAAGAGCCGAGAAGGCCCGGCGAGGCCGAGGCGTGTGTGTGTGTGTGTGTGTGTGTGTGTGTGTGTGAGTGAGTGTGTGTGTGTGTGGTGTGTGTGTGTGTGTGTGTGTGTGCGTGTGTGTGTGTGTGTGTGTGTGTGTGTGTGTGTGTGTGTGTGTGTGTGTGTGTGTGTGTGTGTGTGTGTGTGTGTGTGGGGGGGGTGGGTGTGTGGGTGTGTGTGGGTGTGTGGTTGTGTGTGTGTGCGTAAAGCTGATCAGAGATGGCATCGCCACTGGTTCCTACTCCTGATCCCACTCCTCAGGACACATCTGGGAGGCTGCGCTTGTGCCAATCCTCAGGCAAAGGCCTCTCTACGTCAGAAGCCGCTACACCATCTCGTTGGTCGCCCTAAACCTGGCTTGGACTAGGGCGCGCTTATGGTGCTCAACTAACTCCATCGGTTTCCGATGGTTTTCACTATCACCATCCTCATCCTCATCCTCATTAACATCATCACCATCGTCATCGTCAGCGTCATCATCACGTCGTCGTCTTCGTCGTCATCATCATCACGCCATCGTCATCTCAACGTCATCGTCATCGTCATCACCGTCACCATCATCATCATCCTCGTCGCCGTCGTCATGCAAAATCAGATGTTTTGACTGACGACGAATGGGGTCCAGGGCCTACTCGGCCAGGCTTTCGCGGCCTGGCCGGAAACAAGGGTGGCCCGCTGCCTCACACGGTCAGCGCGCGACACTTCGGAAAGCACCTCCGTCAGGTCAGGGAGCGCCACGGGGACCTCGCCCGGCGCCGAGAAGCCGCTTAAGCGGCCTTCTCGGCGCCAGGAGGAAGCCGCGCACTCGCTCGCAACTGCCGGCGTGCAGGGGCGGCTTCGAGTAGGGATGCCTGGAACTACGCGGGCCCCGATCCTTACCCTGATTTCTTGGCAAGAGAGCAACAGAAAACAACGTTTCCGCTCGGCCGATTGGAGCGAGCCCCCGTTGCGGTCGGAGGGGCGCGGGCGCCGAGGCCCCGCGCCACTGCTCAGGGGATCCTGCCAGGGACAGCCCAAGTGGCTCTCCCCCGTGAGCGCTGAACCCTGCTACTCGAATCTCAGACCAACTCGACCCCCAAACTGAAATTGTCGCCGGATCTGCCACAAGCACACATAGAGAGAGAGAGAGAGAGAGAGTTTTCGTAGATCTGCACGAATTCTGCGTCTCGCTTGTAGACAAGCGACGAGTTGGGGTACATCAGTTCTGTAGTCGATCTCCTGCTCGAACTACTTGGGGGTCCCAAGACCGTGTCGTGGCAAATCGCGTGGCGGCCCCGAAATCCGCAAAGACCTCTCACCGCACGGTCCGTGACCGCACGGCTGTGGGACCTCCGCGGCCCCCAATCGCACGAGACGTCCTCGGAAAACGCCCCGAAGCCCAAAACCGTGCGGTGACCCCCCCCCGCTCCACGGCAGCGAAGCAAGGGAGAAGGAGGACTCCGCTGCTCCTCAAGAGGGCTGCCCCGAACGCGCACCCCGAACGAGTGACGACCGCAGGGCGGTGGAACCAGAATCCTGCAGCTAGCCCTGGGCTTGGGCCTCGTGGAGCAGCCATCATTCGTTCGCGTGCGGTGACCCCGAACCCCGGCTCACACCCCACATGGCGCGGTCGCCACACAATGTTTCATCTGCGGGGCGAGAGCGAACCTCTTCCGCTAAAAGCTAGGCGGGCTATGCACAGCTCTAATTAGGGAGACGGGGCACAGGAAGGCGGGGCCTCGGGCGGCCGGAGCGGGCGAGGCCATGGGGTGCAGGCGGTGCCGAAGTGGATGGTGCAGGAAAAGGAACGTCGTGGACAGGCGGTCCCCACACAGAGCGGGGGCCCCCGAGGAGCTGCGCGAGCCCCGCCCCCCGCGAGCAGCGAGCCGCGCCCGGGGGGCGCCGCCCGCCGCGCGCGCGCGCCCGCGGCGGGGGCACCTCGCGCAGCTTCGGCGCCGCCCCAGACCCGAGGCGCTCCGCGAGGGCGGCGAGCGCCGCTGGGCCTGCGGGGGCCCAGGGGCGAGGAGGAGGAGGAGGAGGAGGAGGAGGAGGAGGAGGAGGAGGAGGAGGAGGAGGAGGAGGAGGGTTCTGGATTCTATTTTGCAGTATTTTACCGACTGAGCGTTCGAGGGACTGCGTATTTTACTGCATTTACTGTCTGAGTACTTTGCGTGACCAGCACGACCAAGTGAATATTCGAGTAGGTGTTTTCATGGACTTCGATGGCTTGCCATTCTCGAGGGGGGGGGACCCGTAGCGCCCATACGGGTGGGCACGATCCCTCAAAGGCGACGGAGCGTGCCTCCCCTCGAGTATTCTTATTGGTTCTATCATGCATTCGTTCTGGCAATGCTTTTGATGCGAATATTTATCCTCTCTGGGCAAAGGTAGCAAAGCGCCCAGTCTATCATTGTACGGTATTTTGTTATTTCTTGGCAGATGGGCAGCAAGAATGACTCGAGCACCACAGGCTTGTGCACCATAGAGTCAAGCAGTGCAAGCAGTGCTACGTTGACCAGCACGTCGGAGCCGAGTACCATAGGTCCGTGCACCGCGGAGACAAGCACTACCATGTTGACCAGCATGACTGTGCCGAACACCACAGGTGCGGGCGCCACTGAGTCAAGCACTGCCACTTGTACCAGCACGACTATGTCGAGTACCACAGGTTCGAGCACGACCACGTCGAGTACCACAGGGCTGTCCGCGGCGAAGAGCGTCCTCGACGACAAGCACTATGGCGCCAGGACTCAAGTCCTGAGGAAGCCCCGAATGCGTGGGAACACCTCAGGCAGCGTCGCCAAGTTTTGCATGAGGCGTTAGGACGCAAGTCCTGGGGAAGCCCCGAATGCGTGGGAACACCCCAGGCACAAGTCGCTACGTTTTGCTGTATGAACTCAGGCAGCGATCGTACGTATACAACTCAGTGGTTACCAGCTGGCCAGACGGTATTCGACCTCTACGACCATGTTGCACCACCGATCGACCATCACTCACAACCCTTGTATGGCCCACCACACCTCTTTACAAGTCAACGCTGCCCTGGTGAGGCATGGATCAAACTTCGAGACGGGCTCGAAGGGTGGGGGGGCAGGACGAGTACTACCCGCGCCTACCAGGGGGGATGGTGAGGGGCAGGGGGGGGGTAGGACGTTCACTACCTGCGCCCCCGCGGTCCGCCCTAGCTCGCCACCCCCACCATCCCCATGGCGGAGGAGGAGCTACCCGAGCGCCCAATGGGCGAAGCGCAGGGCAGCCGAGACATCCCACACCGACAGAAATAAGCACCGGGCCTGGGGTTCGCCCCCACCGAGGGCACTGTGACCCCTAGCCATAGCGGGACGAGGTGGGGCCGCCACGACCCCCACTTGAAGTCGGTGCATGGAGGCCTCATATGTGCGCCCACGACCCATACCACAACACCAGCAACAAGCCGACCTCCCAACGACCCACCAACCAGCACGCACGACAAGCAACTACAAGGGCTGGGGATCCCCCCAACCGACCATCCACTCCACCACCACCTCCCGTCATCATCGCCGACCAGCACGGCCGAGTCGAGTACCACAGGATCGAGGACCACCGAGTCAAGCACTATCACATCAACCAACGCGACTGGGTCGAGTACCACAGGCTCGGCACCACATTTTCAGGCTGTACTACGACGACCATCATGATTGAGTCGAGTACCACAGCTCGTGAACCACGGAGCCAAGCCGTACTACGTTGACCTAGCACGTCTGTAGCGAGAAGCACAGTTTCGAGCACCGCAGAGTCAAGCAGTACCACTTGACCAGCACGACTGGGTCGAGTACCACAGGTTCACGCACTACAGAGTCAAGCAGTACCACAGGTTCGAGAACTACGAGAAGTCGCCGCCGTGCGGCCGCCGGCCCACGAAGAGGCCGACGGCCTGGCCGCGCGCCGTGCGCCTGACGCCCGCGGGCGCGGGCGCGCGCGGCGCCCGCCAAGGGCCCTGTCGGGCCTCCCTTTTTTTTGAAAACCCGGCCCCTCTCCCCTCCTCCGAGGTATTCATTGGTTCCTGGTCCTCTCTCTTCCTCGGGGTCGGGTTCCCGGGGCCGCCGTCTGAGTGCCCGCACGGCCCTGGTGGGCTGCTGCGGCGCGCTCCGCGCCGCGGGCGCATGCGAAGACGCTGGCTGAGCGAGAAACGGCAGAAACGGCAGGGTTCTGGATTGGGCACTTTAAGCGAACAAGGCTGGACCTTCAGGGCGGCGAGCGCCGCTGGGCCTGCGGGGGCCCAGGGGCGAGGAGGAGGAGGAGGAGGAGGAGGAGGAGGAGAGGGAGGAGGAGGGTTCTGGATTGGGCACTTTCAGCGAACAAGGCTGGACCTTCTGGCAACGAAGGTCCGGGGGCAGACCCCGCACGGCCCGGCGGCACAGGGCCCCCCCCCGTCCACCGACGTGCCGGAGAGCCCGGCCTCAGAGAGGCGACGGCCGCCCCCGCGGCGGGGCGGGGGGTGGAGCGGAGAGGGCAGGGAAGGGCGGAATGGGCGAGGCAGGGCGGCGGCAGAGGAAAAGGGGTACACCCTGCGAAATGCTTAACAAATCATGGGTTAAGAAACTCAGAGTCTCAGGATTTGAATAAAAACCCAGAACTTCTATCAAAATCTTAGGATTTACATTGAACAATTAAGAATAATCGAGGTTCTCGCCGAAAACTTAAGTTTTCTTAAGCATCGCCTAAGGGGTAGGATAAGGAAGAGAGTGAAGGAGAGAGCGGGGGCGAGGAGGTGGACGTCGAGGAAGTCGAGTGGAAAGGGGGGTTGGTGAACAGGCGGACAAGGAGATGGAGGAGTCTGCAGAGATATGGAGGGATGAACGCGGAGGATGGCGAAAGGTAGATGAGATGGACAGGGGGGGCAGGGGGCAGGAGAAAGCGGAAAAGGGGGATGCGGGCGGACCTGCGATCGCTGGCCGACCGCGGTTTGACAGGAGGCGCTGGATCAAAACGGGGCGGTTGGGGGACGATGAGGGGTGGGAAGGGGCAACTGACTACCTACGAGACCACCCCAACCCAACCCGAAGACCCGAATCTGACCCGAATTTCGGGTTTGGGGGGGTGTGTAATTACGGGTTCCATGCGTTTTTTTTCAATGTTCCCCGACCCCCCCCCACTGGAAATGGAGGGCGAATTGAAGCCTTCGGGTTGGGGTGGGGTGGTTTGGTGGGTGGTGAGCAGCAGCGGCTGGCGCAGCGCAGCGCAGCGGTGTCCGCTCCTGCAGCGCAAGACGCGGGCCGGACCGCGTGCCGCCCCGCTCTCGGAGCTCCCTCGCGGGCCGCGCCAGCCGCCCGACCCCCCGCCGGGGGGGGACGCGAGGCGAGCTCGGAGGCGCGAGGCTCGCCGTCGCCGCCGCGCGAGTCGAAGGCGCCGTCGGGGTCGCAGAGCGCAGTGGTCGCTGCAAAGTGATCGCGCCACCGCACGGGACGGCGAGGAGGGAACGAGGGGGGCTCGCCTGGCCACGGCGAGCCTCGGCCACGAACGGGCTCCCGAGGGAGGAGGGAGGAGGGAGGAGGGAGGGAGGGAGGGGAGGGAGGGAGGAGGGAGGAGGAAGGAGAGAGGACGAAGGAGGAAGGAGCAAGAGGAAGGAGGAGGAGGAGGAGGAGGAGGAGGAGGAGGAGGAGGAGGAGGAGGAGGAGGAGGAGGAGGAGGAGGAGGAGGAGGAGGAGGAGGAGGAGGAGGAGGAGGAGGAGGAGGAGGGAGGAGGGAGGGGGAGGGGGCGACCTGGATCCCGAGGGGCAGCCCCTCCGAGGGCCTACGGGGCCCGAGGGTCTGAGGGCGTCGGGGCCTCGGTGTCGGGGGGCCCAAGGGGCTCGGGTAGGGGGCTTACATGCGAACCCTACCCCTACCCCCCACGATTTCTGAGGGGGAGGGTGGGGTGCACTCCGCTCGGGAGCTCCTGAACGAAGTGAACCCCACCCTCCCCCTCAGAAATCGTGGGGGGTAGGGGTAGGGTTCGCATGTAAGCCCCTATCGGGGGTCCTTCGGTGCATCCAGCGCCTCGGGGCCTCCGGGGGCGATGCTGAGGGCGCATGCCGCTCATGCGTCGGGTTGAGTCGGGGCGTCCCCCTACAGGGGGATCTTGAGCGAAAGATGAATTATAAAAACGCTCAAAAATACCTCCCAAATTGGTAAAAATAGTGCGAACATCGTCCCCAGACTATTTGTTTTACTATTTTGGGATATTCTTCCTGTAGGGGGACGCGCCCGACTTAAGCGTCGGGGGGCTCGAGGGGCTCGGGGCCACCAGAGCCTCCATGGCCGCCCAGCACCCTCCAGCTCCGCATCGCAAGCGGCCCCATATCTGAAGCATGCGCTGCTCTTCGGTCGCGGGTGGCGCGACTGCTGGCGTGCCGTGCCCGCATGCGAGGTTCGAGGCGCGGCTGCTCTCATGTCGTCGTCGGGAGGCGAAATGGCATCGCCGTCGGTGACCGCGTCGTGTGTGCCGCAGTCCTCCAACCAAACTTGAGCAAGGACCGACCGTTCCGGCATTCCTACAGGCCTGCCACGAAGCGCTCTCAGAACCCCAAAATGTTCGAATACACAAAACCAGTCTCCGCCAGACATGTTTTAAGACAATTTAGCGCAAGCCTCAAAAGGTTATGAAAACATGATTTGGTGGGCCTATAGGCAAGCCAAGACGCTCCGCCGCTGCGTGACAAACAGAAACCTCGGCTTTACCCTGGTCCAAGCCTGCACCAACGTAACAACCCTTGGGCACCACGAGGCCGGCTCTGGAAGCCCTGCATCCAGAAACAAGCGGCGCGCTTGCCATGGCTCTTGCACAGGAAGGACTGGGAAGGAGGAGGAGGAGAAGAATGTGGAGGAGGAGGGGGGAGAGAGGGGGCGAGAGTTCGGAGAAGGGCTTAGAGAGGGCCGCAAGAGGGGCTTCAGAGGGCGAGTTTCAGGAAGAGCTAAGGGCCGCCCCCCACAAGATGGTCACAAATACCGGCAATATGCTGCCAAGAGACCTCCAACAGACACACAAAAAACCCACAAAAGATCTCAAAAGGCCCCCGGTAACCGCAAAAGGATTTGACAAGGCTTCCCAGAAACCTCCAAGGTCCAAGAAGGGCCCCAAGAAATTCTGGAGCAGACCCGGCTGCTGGATGCTCGCGGTGCACAATGCCACATGTTACGGCCTTGTACGGAAAACGCTTGTCCAAGGCAGTCGTTCTGCGTGCAGAGTCTGTCGGGTGTATCCTTGGGGGTTGGCGGACATGTATGCGCCCCTCGAATAAGGCCTCCCCCGTAAATCAAACTTGCGGCCCGAGCCGTTTCGCTCGCTGGCACCGGAGCGCCAAGGAGCGGCGCCCCCGAGGAGGACGACAACGGCGGCGACGATGGCGACGGCGGCGACGACGGCGGCAACGGCGACCGCGACGACGACGGCGACAACGACGACAACGTGTGGGCCCGGCTTCCGGGCGGAGGGGGCGGTGCCGTGCCGAAATAAAGGGGTCGGGGCGGAAGGGGCGCGCTGGCTGGTGGGTGGGGGGATGCGGAGGCGGCGCGGGCCGGAGGGGGCGTGCTGGCTGGTAGGTGGGAAGATGCGGAGGGCCTATAGTGAAGGGTCGGGGCGGGGCGGAACCGCGCCGAAATAAGTGGGTCGGGGCGGGGGGGGCGCGCTGGCTGGTGGGTGGGGTGGTGCGGAAGTGGCGCGCAAGATGGGGGGGGCGGTGCCGTGCCGAAATAAACGGGTCGGGGCGGGGGCGGAGGGGGCGCTCTGGCTGGGGGTGCGGGGGGGGGCGCGAGGGATGGGAGGGGAGCGGTGCCGTGCCGATATACAGGAGTCGAGGCGGAGGGGGCGAGCTGGCTGGTGAGTGGGGTGATACAAAGGGGGCGCTCGGGATGGGGTGGGCGGTGCCGTGCTAAAATAAAAAAGTCGGGGCGGAGGGGGCGCGCTGGCTGGTGGGTGCGGTGGGGTGATGCGGAGGTGCGGGATGGGGGGCGCGTTGGCCGGTGGGTGGGGTGATGCCGAGGGGGCGTGCGGGATGGTGGGGGAGGGGAGGGGGGCTGCCGTGCCGAAACGAAAAAGTCGGGACGGAGGGGGCGCGCTGGCTGGTGGGCGGGGCGGGCGGGGCGATGCGGAGGTGGCGCGCGGGATGGGGGGGCGGTGCCGTGCCGAAAGTAAGTGGTCCGAGCTCTGGACACCCTGTGCAAGAGAATAATGTCATATCTTTGGTGGGACCTCTTACAATGGAGGCCGGTCCACAAGAAACGTTCCACAAGAAACCCAACCCTGAGCTCCCAGGACGTCCATGGATTTGTGGTGTGGGAACGTCGCGCTTTCCATAGCAAAACCCTCGAGACCCCAGAAACCCAGGGCACCCTGGAGGCAAGCAAGGTGCTTCTCGGCATGGGCCCCCACTGTCTGCTTCGGCCGGCTTCCGCCAGCCTCCCGAGGAGGGGAAGCTGCCAACTTTCCGCCCCAAAGACGCTTCAGCCCTTTCTGTCCGAGGCTGAGGTTGTGCACGCATACGCCCTGAGGAACCACTGTCCCAGGACCC